TCTATGTACAAGGCTATATACACAGTCCACAGCAACAATGCCAACCATCCAACCATCCAACAACAACCCACATCAACCCAGCCAACACTTGTGTCCAGAGGCAACTCCCTTATATACCCAGGGTTCCATGTGGCCTTCTGGCCCTGCCTCTTCCTTTGGACACCTTCACTCAACCTGGGTGACTTTGCAGTTTTGCAGCCATTTTGGTGCTTTACAGCACCTTGTGATCATCAGCCAATGTCACTCCCTGTGACACAGCACCTGGTGGAAAGTGTTGTGTCATTATGGCTGCCAGTGATCCTTTCATGCCTGGTCATTTGTGTATCAACCCACATTGGACATTTTCCTTGAAACACTGTCTCCTCATCCCCAATTCACCAGCATGGACTGCTAATCTTACCTGGTGAGCCTGGGAAAAGTAATTCTACTTCAGTACCTTATCCTGTTTCTATTATTCTATATATGAACTAAATGTCATAGTCTAAAAGCTTTTATGTCAAAATTCTCTATTCCAAATAAAGCTTTTAAAATGTAATTGCAGGGGGGGAAAGAACAGAAGGTCAATTAAAGGAATGCCTAGTTATATATAAAGTTGAAAGTGTCTTTGGCATAATCCAGAATAACCAAATAAAAGCATTTCTTTACCATTTATTTTATTTTATTTATACCCCATCTTTCTCATAAAGTATCCAAGGTGACTTAAAACAAATTATGACAAATCACAGGTAAAAGAAATTTGGTACAACAGGTTTTTTAAAAAACAAAAAAGCACTAAATAACATATTAGAAAAACCACGCTAAAGCAATTTAAATTAATCCTGCTGCTCTCTTGAAGCATGTAACCATTTCCATAGTCTTCTTCAGACTTACTTTTTTCTCCTTTTTGCACAGCTGAGAAGAACTGAAACTGAGAAGATCCCATTAATGTGGCTTGGAGAAAACATTAGAGAAAGGGAAAGAAGGCAAAAATCAATAGGTACTAGGATTCTTTTTCCTCACTAGCTGGTCCCTGCTGTTCAGTTCAGGCCTTATTAAAATAATGTAGACCTTAGGGAGAAAAATGAAAAACAGTAATCCAGAACTAGAGGCCAAGATGGAGAAGATCTCCACAGCCACCATGTATTTCCCTTTGGTACTCAGGTACGTGGGAACAAATGACACCCAAACACTGCAAAAGACCAACATGCTGAAGGTAATCAGCTTGGCTTCGTTAAAAGCATCAGGCAACCTCCTAGCCATGAATGCCATAATGAAGCTGATAAAGGCCAGAAATCCCATGTAGCTGAGG